ATTTCTCTGAGGTTTTTGTTGTTATTATTGCCAGGGATGAAACCTAGGTCCTCCCATGCATTGAGGTTTTTAATCATTAATGTCTAAATTCATTTAGTTAAATTTGTTTTAAAATCTGTTTCACTTCTACCACCTGGCTCACTACATCAATGGATTCAGTTAATGCTCTGTTTTGAGGAGTTGGGCCACATCTGGAAGTGTTCGGGGCTTATTCCTGGCTCTCTGCCCAGGATTTATTCCTGGTGGTGCATGGGGATTTTATGTGGTTTTGGGGATTGAACTGGGGTTGGCAGAGTGCAGGTAAGTGCCTTAACCTCTGTCCTACATCTCTTGCCCTTAATTGACTGTCTTTCCTCATGAGAATGTTCCATTTTCCCTTGTTATTCAGCTAACTTTGGGATTATATTCTGACAACATCAAATTGTAGAGATTCTAGGTTCTGCTACTTTCCTTTCCTGAGTGTCTTCTTTCTCAGGCAATCCTGTTGTTGGGGCTGAAAGCCACACACCTGGCCGTGGTATGGAGACTGTGAAGCTGACTGTACCTGCTGATGTGTGGTGAAGCCTGGGGTCAAACACATGTGTGTCTTCAAAGCACACGACACGGTTCACAACATTCCTGTGTGGGTTTAAGACCAAAGACTGTTTCTCTAGGGATATCTCTTGTTTTGTGACCTTTTTGGAGTAGATCAATTTGTCTGGGGTTCAGTAGGCAGATATGGGGATGATGACATTGAAGGTCCCTCTCTGATCCTCCTCTTTGGAGGACTCGCCTGCTCTTACATATCTTTGGAAAAAATGCTTGTTCAAGTTCTTTGCCAATGTTTTAAAAAAAATAAAACTGTATATTTTAAGTTTTAAGAAGTTATTTTTAAATTAATATGTATGATTTGCAAGTACTTTCACCCCTCCTGGGGGCTTTTAATCTGTTAGTAATCTGTTCCAGGGGCATTCAAAGCAGCTCAGGAGACCACGGGGCCCCTCTCAGTGACTCAGCCTCCAGGCAAGCACTTCAATGCTAGGGTTTAAAGACATGGTACTGTGCAGACCCTGCAGTGCCAGGCCTTCAGGGATGCATCTGATGATGCTTGGGGAACCATGTGGTGCCAGGAACTGACCTGGGTTGGCAGCATGCAGGGCATGCACCTTAACTTCTGAACTAGCTCTCCAGCCCTGACAATATCTCCGTAATCAAATGATTACATTTCCATGAAGTCCAGTTTGCAGTTTTTCTTTTGATGCCTATGCAGAGATGAGACAGAGAAACTCAGGAACATGAGCTGGGGCACCAGAGGGTGAATTCTTCAAATGACACCATGATAGCTTGGAGCACAGCCATGTCACAAATTCTTCATTGATTGACTTGAAGCGCCAGACAAAGCTTTGTCATAGCTTTACACTTTGAATTTTCACTTAGATGTTTGCAATTCTTATTGTTTTCTTCTTTACTAAACTTCTCATCTTCCACCTGGGGTCCTTTTCTTCTCTCATACCATTTTGTACTGCCTTAGCTTGGGTCGTTGGTAGTTATATTTATATTATTCAGCACATTGGTGGTAGCTTTCCACTATTTTGATATTTATTTAGCATTATATTTTAGGGTCTCTATAGTGTCAAATTTTCACACCTTTAAAGAGCAAATTTTATTGTTCTATGCTTTCTTAGATTTTGTCTTTTTCTGCAATTTTACTTTAAAATTTTTATGTGTATATATTTTTATTTATTCAGCTTTGCAGTCATTGATCTTCTGCAACCTGGGGTTTGGAGGTTCCTTAGTTCTTGGCTACTTAAGTATTGACTCTGTCCCATTTGAGGTTCCAGTGACATGTATTTGATTTTTTCAATCTATGCTGTGTTCCTTGGTTCGTCTTTATATTCCATACTTTAAAAAATTTCTTCACGCTGAATATCTTCTGCTCCCTCTTTCAGTTCATGTATTCTATTGCCACGTCTCTCTAACCTGCATGAAACCATCCAAGGAGTCCTTACTGTATGGTTCTTTTGCAGTTCCAGGATTTATTTCTATTTTATATATTTCAATTCCTTGCTTGGGCTTTTGAAATAAAAATTCTCTGGGCAGAGAAAACTGTTGTCTCATTGTCTTTGTCTGATAGTGCTAATAGCTTAATTCTGGGTGGTGGTGGCGGTCTCAAGAAATTCTTAGACAATCTGGCTCATGATTCAATATGAAAGTCCAAGGATGCCAACTTGACAGGGATGCCTGAACCACCCCAGAGGCTAAGTCTTTTTGGCTCAGTTCTGTTCTATGCTTCTTCTGTTGGTTCTCCTCTCACCATCACGTTTCCTCTAGATTCAGCAGTCTTTGTGCAATTCAGTATGTTTGAGAATTAATGATTGGAATAAACTGATGCCAATGATACCATCTCCCTCCAAAGGTGGTTTTCATTTCCTTTGCACTGCCATGCTGGGTTTGTCTTGATTCTAATTAAAATACTTTGGCTGTTTGCATCATCACTTGGTGATGGAAATACTGGAAATATTCTATCAGTTTTTCTCATTCAGGTGATAGCATTAAGTAACCAAGTAATCTGAGTAGTGGCTTTAGTTTTGCAATACAGGACAAGAACTTGAGCTTGGACAAGAACTACGTCTGCTCAAAAAAAAGAAAAAAGAAAAAAAGGAGAATGTTGCATAGCTAGTCTCAGGATTGTTGAACATTTCAAATCATTGAGCAGTGTCAGGTGATGAAATGTCTGGCATGGAGTAGGAACCTAGAAATACTTGTGGAATGAATATGTAGTCAGTGAAATGGGTGAGGCTGCATCACGGTTTCAAGTAACTTACTTGAACACACTACATTTCTCCCGGAGAGGTTTACTGCATCCTTAAATTTTATTTTCAGGGCACATTAACACTCTCTGTTCTTTGTATCAGAAGGCAGAGTGTCTTTACTGTGATTTTAAGTGCCCCACAGCCCTGGAGCACAGCAATTTTAGCAGCAGTTATTCAACTCTGCTTGCCTCCATTTCTCTCCGTAGCGAGTCCTTCAGGGTGAGTAGGCATTGGCCCGGAGGCCTTGTCTGTTGTGACTGGTCTCTATGCTCAGCAGCTGCTACGAGTGACGGCAATGCTTGTTGAAGGCATGGAAGCTATGATGCAGGGCTGTGAAAAGAAAATGAGAGTTACTACCACCAGCCCCAGAACCCTGCCTGATTCCTGAAAAACACCATCCTTTCCCTGAGAAGCCACACAATATGTACCCTGCTGATGCAGAATCCAATTCCTTGTTTTGAAGGCGGGGAATGACTGAGCACCTGCGGACCCTGTCCATAGGGGTCCAGCCTCACTTTTGCCCCAGGAGAACTCTCCCCACTCTCCCATAGTGTGTGTGTGTGTGTGTCTGTGTGTGTGTGTGTCTGTGTGGTTGCCTGCCCCTCTGCCCCCAGGGAGAACTTATCCCAGATCCTTTCCCAGCACCTAGAGGTTCTGGGGTGAATCTGTCCCAGGAGTGGATGACAATGGAAGCCCCCACCTTTCTCCACGTTTTCAGCCCCCAACCCAAGGGAGAAGCTGATGCTGTACTTCTCATCTCTGGATATTTTCCACAACCAGCCTTCAAGACCCCTGACATCTGGATTCCCCCAGCCCCCAGAGAAGAGGGTACACATCCGAGCCTGTCCCTATACATCCCTGTCCCGGGACCCCAACCCCCTTCCCATGGCGGTGTCTCCAGATAGCTGAGGCCCCTTCTCTGATCCTGCCCCCTCTCCCCCTTGAACCTGTCCCGGGTTCAACACCCCACAAAACCGTCAGGACTCCCCATTCTCGCCCCACGGACCAGCCCCTGGCCTCGCCTCTCCAGAGCGAACCTGTATTGAGAGCCCACCTCCCCATGAACTTGCCCCGGACCCCGCGCCCCCTAGGATGAACCGGGACCCCCTCAAAACCCGCCTATGGAGGCCCCCTCACCCTCAGGCTCCTTCGCCAAACCACACTCTCTTCCCTCAACTTACGCCTGCCTCTCCTTCCCAGACCTTGGGCTCTGCGCTTCCCCCGTCCCCCCACCCCCTCAGGCCCGACTTCCGGCTCACGCCCCTCACCTCAGGCCTCATTCCTCCCGCACCCCCTTCCCTGAGGCCGACTTCTGGATCTCGTCCCCACCTCTCCGGCCGCATTCCAACCGCGCCCCCTCCCCTCCGGCCCAACTTCCGGCTTGGGCTCTCTCCCCTCAGGCCGAACTTGGGCTCGCGCCACCCCCCACCCCCTCAGGCCCGACTTCCGGCTTACGTTCTTTCCCCTCAGGTCGAACTTGGACTCGCGCCACCCCCCACCCCCTCAGGCCGGACTTCCGCCCGCGCCCCCTCCCCTCAGGCCGAACTTCCGGCTCGCGCCCCCTCCCCTCAGGCTGAATTTCCGCCCGCGCCCCTCCCCTCAGGCTGAATTTCCGCCCGCGTCCCTCCCCCTCAGGCCGGACTTCCGGCTCGCGCCCCCTCCCCTCGGGCCGCATTCCGCCCGCGCCTCTCCCCTCAGGCGCGACTTCCGGCTCGCGCCCTCTCCCCTCAGGCCCGACTTCCGCCCGCGCCCCCTCCCCTCAGGCCCGACTTCCGCCCGCGCCCCCTCCCCTCAGGCCCGACTTCCGCCCGCGCCCCCTCCCCTCAGGCCGGACTTCCGGCTCGCGCCCCCTCCCCTCAGGCTGAATTTCCGCCCGCGCCCCTCCCCTCAGGCCCGACTTCCGCCCGCGCCCCCTCCCCTCAGGCCCGACTTCCGCCCGCGCCCCCTCCCCTCAGGCCCGACTTCCGCCCGCGCCCCCTCCCCTCAGGCCGGACTTCCGGCTCGCGCCCCCTCCCCTCGGGCCGCATTCCGCCCGCGCCTCTCCCCTCAGGCGCGACTTCCGCCCGCGCCCCCGCCTGCGGCGCCGTCCGTCGCGCTCGCTCGGGGTCGGCCGCGGAGCGCAGCGGCGCGTGCGGAGGGTGTGCGCGCCCGGGGCCGCCGCCGCCCCGCCCGTCCCGCGCTCCTCCCGCCGCGCGCGCGCCCCGCGTCGCCGCCGCCGCCGCCCGTCGCCCGCCCCGGCGCGGCCCCGTCCGCGAGCGCAAGATGGCGGCGCCCAGGCCGCCCCCCGCCCGGCACTCGGGCGTCGCGATCACGGCGCCCATCCAGGACCTGGAGGCCCTGCGCGCGCTCACGGCGCTCTTCAAGGAGCAGCGGAACCGGTACGCGGGCGGCGGGGGGGGCGGGGCGGGGCGCGCGACCCCCGGGCCTGAGGAGACGCGCGACCCCCGGGCCTGAGGAGACGCGACCCCCCCCGGGCCTGAGGAGAAGCGACCCCCTCGGGCCTGAGGAGAAGCAAGACTCCTCGGGTCTGAGGAGACGCGACCCCCCCGGGTCAGAGGAGACGCGCAACCCCCGGGCCTGAGGAGACGCGACCCCCCCGGGCCTGAGGAGACGCGACCCCCCCGGGCCTGAGGAGACGCGACCCCCCCGGGCCTGAGGAGAAGCAAGACTCCTCGGGTCTGAGGAGACGCGAGACCCTCCGGGTCAGAGGAGACGCGCGACCCCCGGGCCTGAGGAGACGCGACCTCCCCCCCCCCCCCCCCCCCCGGGCCTGAGGAGACGCGAAACCCCCGGGCCTGAGGAGAAGCGAGACTCCTCGGGTCTGAGGAGACGCGAGACCCCCGGGCCTGAGGAGACGCGACCCCCCGGGCCTGAGGAGACGCGACCCCCCCCTCTCCCCCCCGCGCGACCCCCCGGGCCTGAGGAGACGTCTCACGAGACCCTCGCGGGCAGCCCGACCCCGCGCCTGAGGAGACGCGCGACTCGCCTGGCGGTGCTCAGGGCTCGGGGACTCCTGGGCTGGGTTTGGGGCTGGTTCTAGCCGGTTTCCGTTTCCCGCCTCCGGTTCTCGGGGTGACGTTCTCGGTTCTCGGGGTGACGTTCTCGGGGTGACCCCGGGCAGGACCGTCGTCACTTCTCCGCGCTGCGTTGGAGTCTGCGCCAAGGGGATGGAGTTGGGGAGCCACAAGGTCTTCCCTGAGAGGGTCGTTCTCTGTGGAGGCGGCAGGGGAAGGCTGAGGAGTGGGGGGCGGGGCCGGGGGCGGGGGCCTGGCCACATGCTCACTAGAGACCCCGGGTCTTTTCAGATTAATTTTTTTTTTCATTTTTGGGTCACACCCAGCGATGCACAGGGGTACCTCCTGGCTCTGCACTCAGGAATGACTCCTGGCGGTGCTCAGGGGACCGTATGGGATGCTGGGAATCGAACCCGGGTCGGCCACGTGCAAGTCAGATGCCCTACCCACTGGACTATCGTTCTGGCCTCGAATTTTAAATTTTTATTATTGTCGTTAATACTGTTTTTATTGGGTCACGCCTGGCAGTGTTCACGGGATCGCTCCTGGCTCTGCACTCAGGAGTTACTTCTGGCCGTGCTTGGGGACCAAATGGGGATCGAACCCTGCTCATGGGTGTGGAAGGCGAATGCCTTACCCGTTCTTTCTCTCTGGCCCCGGTCATTTTAGTTCATTTTTATTTTTTGGGTCACATCCGGCGGTCCTCAGGACTTACTCCTGGCTCTGCATTCAGGGGCCACTCTTGGTAGTGCTCTGGGGACCATATCGGGTGCTGGGGATGGCACCTGGGTGAGTGTGTGCATGGCCTGTGTCCTGCCCACTTGACTCTCCTGGCGCCAGAGACCCCAGGTCTTTAAGCTACACCCTTGGTCTGGGAGCACTTCCTCTGGTGACTGCTGGGAGCCCAGGCCCCACTCCTTGCCTTTCGGGGAGGAGTGCTGATTGACAGGGATCCTTCTGGGGGATTTATTTATTTATTTAAAGAATTTAAGACAGTGATCAGATTTATTTATTTTACTTATTTTTTGCTTTTTGGGTCACACCCAGTGATGCTCAGGGGTCACTCCTGGCTCTACACTCAGGAATCACCCCTGGCGATGCTCAGGGGACCCTATGGGATGCTGGGAATCGAACCCGGGTCGGCTGCGTGCAAGGCAAACGCCCTCCCCGCTGTGCTATCGCTCCAGCCCCCCACTGGAGATTCCTTTAATGCCACATGGACCATGATGGCCCTTTAGTCAGGGATCAGCCTCCAGCTGAGTGACTACTGTGAACCAGGTTCTCAGATTTCTCGGGCCCATGAACAACAAGAGGACAGTGACAGTGACCTGTGACATGATCCCCTATTCACCCCTCCTTTCTTCCCTCCCTGCCCCCACTCCCTTGGTACTCTGAGCAGCTCCTGGCTCTGTGCACAGAGGTCACTTCTGCTGATTTCCAGGGGACCGAATGCGGTGCACAGGATTGGGTCACCATGCATGGATGGACTACATGCAAGGCGCATGCAAGGCATGGGCCTGACTCCTCTACATCTCTGATCTGTCTCTCTTGTCAAGCATGCGAGGGAAACTGAAGTCAACAGTTGTTGTGCTGGAGGGCCAGGGTGCTGGTGTAAGCAGAGACTAGTGGGGTCTGGGCCAGGAAATAGGATCCCTGTAGCTGCATGGCTTACAGATGACTAGCTAGCGAGGAAGTCCACTGTATCGAGGGCCAAGTACTGGTCTTGCAGGATCACCGAGGGGATCAGTGCAATTATGTCCTATCCAGAGAAGACCTTCAAATAAACATCAGACCCCTTTTGTAGCCTGTAAGGTAAAATCCAGAACCAAGGACTGGATTACAAGCCTTTTTGTGTCTGTTAGGGGGAGTATTGAGGGAGCTCTCCATGCACGGAAGAGTTCAGGCCTCTCTCACGGATGACGTTGTGGGTAATAATTGCAGGTGAGGCTTCAGGTAAGGGGCTCTGGGAGAAGCCAAGGCAGAAGCCCACGTGAGGAAGGGGATCTCCTGAGCTAGGTCATTGTCTGGGGGGATGATCATGTCATTGATGGATAAGGGGCACTTAGAAAAGAAAGCTTGGCCCGTTTTTCTGGGGCCATGGCCTGCTTCCAGACAGAGTTGGGGGAACTGGAAAGGTAAACTGAGGTGCGGGTGTTGAAGTGGGGTGGGGAGTAGCTGGGTGGGGTGCGGAGCGCTCCCCATGAGGCATGTGAGGCAGACTCTGGTTCTGCCATTGCTCATCTGGGAGTCTTTGTCTGGGGGGAGGTAGGAGGGGCTGACCCTTTGGGGTGTGACCAGAGTCCACTGGCTATGCAAGTAGGCCTCCCCAAGCATGTGGCCCCCCACGGAGGGGATGGCCCCCAACGTGCTGGAAACTGAATGGTTTGTGAAGTGACATGAGGTCAAACACTGTCAAACACTGTCCTCCCGTTGTTCATCGATTTGCTCGAGCGGGCCCAGTAACGTCTCCAATTTTTTGAGACTTGTTGTTACTGTGTCTGGCATATCGAATACGTCACAGGGAGCTTGCCAGGCTTTGCCGTGCGGGCGAGATACTCTCAGTAGCTTGCCGGGCTCTCCGAGAGGGGCGGAGGAATCGAACCCGGCTCGACCGGGGCTGGCTTGCACGCAAGGCAAACGCCCTACTGTTGTGCTATCGCTCTAGCAACGTGAGGTATTAGCAGCAAATAGAAAACTGAAAAAACTAAAACTAAAACTAGAAAAGGTAAAGTAAAAACAGACTGGGAAAGGGAAGATTACAAGACTCTCAGATATGGTGTGTGTGTGTGTGTGTGTGTGTGTGTGTGTGTGTTCGTGTTCGTGTGTGTGTTCTTTCCCCCATTTTGGGGGGGCACCCAGTGGTGCTCAGGGGTCACTCCTGGTGAGGCTTGCGGGATGATACGGAGTGTTGAGGATTGAACCCTGATTGACTATGTACACGGAAGCGTTCTACCCACTGGTCTGTCTCTCCAGCTCCTCTTCCCCCAAAGTCTGAGGCATTAGTGTCCAGGGCTGGAGTAACAGTGTGTTTTGGTGGTAAGAACCGGGAGAGGGGACAGCGAGGCCTGGCCACGAATCTTGGCTTCTCCCTGGACTTCTGTTTCCCTGTTAAGATGGGGAGCAGAGTCCCTACTTGGCTAGTTATTGTGAGGCTGTAAATAGTATTGTGTGTGTAGAGGTCACTTCTTTAGTCCCTGCTCTTAAAAAGAACTCAGTTTTAAGAGACCGGGACGCCAGGTATCCCTTATCTTCTGCTTTGTAGCAAGCACTTGACTCTATACTTGGTTCTGAGAAAGGATCTCATGAAATCTTCAGTTTACTGCGAGGAGGAGGACCTTCTTATTCTCTGTTGTCACGGTTTTCGGAGTACTCAAGAAGTTTTTGGTAGCCCGGCCTTCAGGAGTGTGGGCTAAACTTGAGTGACTTCTTTGAAAGACCGGACCCTACCTGACGTGAGCGTATGTATTCTGAGACTAGGTCCTAAAAGGCCCGCAGCCTCCCTCCTTTGTGCTCTCGGATCACTGGCAGCCAGCAGCCGTGTCAGGAGCGCCTGGGTACCGGAGCATCTGTGTAGAGACGCCTGAGGGAAGAACTGAGGCACCTGCCAGCAGCGTCTGTGATGAGCCGTCTCCAGGCTGGTCAGTCCCAGTCAAGCCTTCAGCCTTGTGTGCTGCCTCCTGAGAGAATCTGGGCCAGACACCCCCTCAGCCGCCCCCTGCCCTGACCCCTTGCCCGCCCTGCTGTGTGAGACCAGGACTCTTCCAGTTCCGAATCGCTCCGTTTAGGGGTGATTTGGTAGGTAGCAGCAGTTCATGAATATGCCAGTCTGCATCCTTCACGTGCTGGATGATAGCTCTGTTCTGTACGACACTTGTTGAGCAGGATTTAATGACAAAAAGCCATCGAAAATTGCATATGGAAATAAAACATCGCAATGCTAAATGTTTTTCATCTGTGGAAAGCGGTTCTTATATGTTTTTGAGTTTTTTTTTTTTTTTTTTTGCCTTTTTGGGTCACACCCAGCGATGCTCAGGGTTTTCACTCCTGGCTCTGCACTCAGGAATCCCTCCTGGCGGTGCTCGGGGGACCATATGGGATGCCGGGGACCGAACCCGGGTCGGCCGCGTGCAAGGCAAACACCCTACCCGCTGTGCTATCATGTTTTTGAGTTTTAATGTAATGTACAGTTCACATTTTCAAAAGTTTTTAAAAATTTATTTTCATGTTCCCCCTTCCTCTCTTGTGGCAGTGGCAGCCCCTGGGGTTGCACGTGCCGTGCCCAGCAGGATGACCCCGTTGCTGTATTGCTTGCACAGTAGGCCGTGGGGCTTGTACTCTCGTAGGTGGGGTACTGACACGTATGC